TCTGTGTATTTTGATAGAATGTTTACTAGAGATGGAAATATGAATAGAAAAAAAAACATAAATACTATTAGAAAAGTAGTGGAAGTTATGTGGTGTACTATGAGGAATGAATGTTTCTGAAAAGTAGGAAAAATGTAATGTATAAGAACATTCTTATGTCCATATTTTTATATGGTAGTGAGAATTGACCATGTTGAAAAAAAAACATAAAAACAAGTTGAATACAGTGTGAATATGATACTTAAGAAATGTGTTTGATTAAACCTGATCAAGAATTTATGGATGCTGAGTGAATGTACATTGAAAGTATGAGCACAGCAAAATATGCTAGTTTGATCATGTGGAATGTATTAATGAAGATTTAACTGCAAAACTATGTGTGTATATTAAAGTGCACGTGAAAAGGAAGAATGAATGGATCAAGAAACAGAAGAGAAAGACCAAGAAGTGTATATTTAATACAGTTGAGGAGAATCTCAAAAAAAAAAAAAGTAAGAACATACATGAAGTGGTAGAGATATAAAATCATGAATAGTATTAAACTCATTTTAAATGTGTTTTCATTTCTTTATTTTTCTGTCTCTTCTTTAATTTTTTTTCTAAGTATTTCTTACTCATTTTTTCTACAGTGCATTACACTGCTTATTCCTGGAAAAAAACCCTGCATGGTAAAACATGTAGGTACTCTATATTTGATGAATTTTTTTCTTTTAATTTTTAGTATCTTTCACAATATTTAGAATGACCCTTATAAATGTTATCTGGGTATCAAAACTCAAATGTTTGAATATGTATATGTGTTTGTGTCGGTATGTGTGTGTTGTGTGTGGTGTGTGTGATTATAAATATATGTGAATTTCTGTTAGATCTGTTTCAATAAATGAGAAAAATGATATTTAGATTATCCTGTTTGTGAAAATGTCTTCAATGTTTCTTTTTTGTATGAATTACTTATACTAAAGACTTAAAAAAGCTCAGGATATCTAGATATCAATATCTATGTCTACATCTGTATCCATATCTATAAAGAATGGTTGCCGGAATCGGGTATGTCTAGTTTAACGAAGAGAAAGACTAGGGGTGACATGATAGCAGTTCCAATATCTTAGAGCAGTGATGGCGAACCTTTTAGAGACCGAGTGCCCAAACTGCAACCCAAAACTCACTTATGCATCGTCGGGTGCCAGATGGGTGTAGTCCATTGGGTGGGTGTGGCCCATTGGGTGGGCATGGCTGCGGTGGTAACAGCAGACTGGGTGGGACTAAAAAGTTCAATCAATCCCAACTTTGCAAGATCTTTTTTTTCCCGTGAGAAGTTGAAATTGACTGATTGATTGAACCTTTTTTTTTTTGCACACAGCACAGGCCTAAAGCGAAAAGGTTTTATAAAACCCTGCTGAAGGCCTAAAATGGGGCGACGGCGCGCATGCCCACACAGAGGGCTCTGTGTTCTGCCTCTGGCACTCGTGCCATAGGTTCGCCACCACTGTCTTAGAGCTGCTACAAAGAAGAGGGAGTCAACCTATTCTCCAAAGCACCTGAAGGCAGGAGAAGAAGCAATGGATGGAAACTAATCAAAAAGAGAAGCAACCTAGAACTAAGGAGAAATTTCCTGACAGTTAGAACAATTAATCAGTGGAACAACTTGGACTAGAAGACCTCCAAGGTCCCTTCCAACTCTGTTATTCTGTTCTGTTCTTTCTATATTTATGTCTGTATCTACGTCATCTACATTTACCTATACATACACACAAAACACATTGATAGACACTCAGAGATTTACGTTTAAACATTGCTGGATAAACAGCATTAATTTTAGTTCTAAGATCTGAAGGGATATTTTGTTTCAACTAGATTTTGAGTGAAGTTCCCCTTGGAAGATATTTTCATAAAGCATCATAATTCCTTTACTTTTAAGAAAGGGAAAGCTCTTTGCTTCTAATGCTTTTGTAACTTGTTGCTGTTTAAGACAGGTTAAGTGGCAAAGTGCCTTGTTGAGATAAAGTTGTTTGCACCTTTTCCCTAGCAAAAATAATCATGTTACTTTCCTGGCAAGCTCAAACTGCTTTGAATTTATTAACCATAAGCTAATAAATATGCTTAGATTGTGTTGGCTGTGTTTTAACCTTTTCAGGAATTTATGACACAGAACTTCTACCATAAGAATATAGGGAAGTATGAAAATCAAGATCTGTCCATGTAAACATTAAGTAAATAGTCTCAAATCAGGTCATAAATAACATAATTAGAGCTTTTGACTACACAGATTATTTTTAGTAGCAAAAATACTCTAATTGTTTTATTTCAGTTTCTTATGATTAGATTCAGATCAGATCGAAATTGTATCTGTTTATTATAATTACATAGATTTTTTTTTTAAAAAAAAACATGTATTCCTATTATATTTCTAGAAGACTAGGCACATTAAAGCATTCAGGAGGGAATCCAATGATTGCCATCTGCTTTATATTGTTGCTTTATGTATATTAATTGTCTAATGCACGTATCTTATTATGTTAGAAATTGTAATTTCTAGAACCAGCCACAGGAGAGAGCTACTTGGAAATTCAATAAGTCTTTCATACCAAAATAAGCAAACAGATCTCAAACTTCAATTCTTGTCAAATTCTGCTTCATGACAAAAAGCAACAGAAAAAGAGAAGAGCTTCTCCAGACAAAAGAATATGTAAAGTGTTATAGATATTCAAGGTGTTAACAAATTTTCTGGAAGACTGGTTGGCTTACCATCGTGCCACTACAGTTGACTTCTGCAGAAAAGCTACTGGTTTTATTTTGCTGCAGTGAAATGTATCTTCAGAAGTTCATTACTGTATGTCCTTCCTCAAGCCTTTAGTTATACCCTTATAGTTGCTGCTTTCATGACCTATCTATCTTTGATACAGTATCTGTCTCTTAATGCCATGGCTAAAAGCTCTATAAATTGTTGTGGGCTTGCCATGGCTTACAAGCTTGCAAGTGTACTAGAACCTGACTTGCTGCTCTGGCCATGTAGTTTAGAACAGGGTTTTTCAACCAGTGGTATGGGTACCACCTATGGTACATTGGCACCTGGCAGGTGATACGCGACCATCCTAGAAAAGAGGTAGTGGGGGAGGGGAATGAGCTGAACCGGTGGCAGCACCGCACAAGCCTGAGCGAGAGATGGCTGGAGCTGCAAGGCTGTCAGGGCTCAGCGGAAAAGCCAGGATCAGTGCCCTTTTCCAGCTGATGGGTGCTTCTTCGGGGCTGTCAGGGCTCAGTGGAAGCACCAGGATCAGCGACAGGCTCCAGCTGGAAAGCAGCACTGATCCTGGCGCTTCTGCTGAGCCCACAAGAAACACCAATCAGCTGGAATGTTGCAGCCTCTCCAGGGTCTTGTGATTTACATTCAGATGCTTGGCAACTGATTCAATTTATGATGGTCACAGTGTCCCAGGGTCATGTGAAGTGACCAAAACCTGCTGCAACCACCCAGCAGACGGGGGGAATAAATACCAAACAACCCCCACCCCACCCCTGCTGCCAATCCTCAACAGAAATGCTCACAACAATGAAAACCTCGGACAGGAGGAAGAGCGCTGCTGGGCAGGCAGGCACCTTGCTAGGCAACTGATGGTACTATGATATATCCTAAAAGTGGTACAATGGGTGAAAAGGTTGAAAAGCCCTGGTTTAGAACAATCAGGTCTATTGAAAATAAGTTTATAACGTTATAGCCTGATAGCTTTGCAGTTCATAAGGTTCCATAGCAAGCAATAATGTCTCTCTTGTAAGTAATTTAAAGAAATAAATAGAAATAAATAAATAAAAACTGAGTAGGGATTGACTATGAATTTAATTCTATGCGAACTTAGTTTATGCTAAGCAGCTGAATTTAGGTACATTGTTTGCTAAATGGTCAGCAATGGAGAAGAAGTTTGTGGCAAAGCAGGATATTCAGTTTGTAATATTGTAAGCCATTGTAAGTGTGATAAATCCAGGTAATTATGAATATCAACCTATCATCCAATTAGCAAAATACATGTCTTCAACAGCCATCAAGCATATGAATGAAAAACTTCTTAGTATGTGAAGTTCTGACATGATACAAGAGATGCACAATGAAGCATATTCAAGAGTTTCTACATCACAGAATCTAAGCGTTGTAATTGCGGAATATTTACATCCTGGTGTATCTCTCCACATTCTCTAATATGATTCATAAAACATAAGACTAATATTGCAGCAGAAGATTTAAAAGTTACAGGAAAGAATGAAGCAGAAGGGCTAGACAAGACTGTAGCTATGTTCTTCCACTCAAACTGGTGACTGACAGCAGAAGTTGGAGTATAGTTGGAAAACACAGTGTGTCATATCAGTAAGGATTGTCAGAAGCTGTTTCTCTTGAAGGAAGGAATCATAAATATTACTTAGCCCAGAAGGTAGCCATACTTTTCCTACAAAAGTAGGAAGTGGTAGACAAAATATATTTAGTCTGGCCTTGTCATCTAAGTATCTATGATAGAGTATCTCTTCTTGCCCATAATCATCACCAGCAGCATCACGGTAGGCTGGTTAAAATATAATTTTAGTCTATAACTGAAAATGAAATATATTATTGGTAAAGCATTTTAAACAACATGTCAGGCAATATATTTGGATGATGTGGAAATGAAGTTTTCTTTAGCAGTCCTAGTATTGTTAGTGCTGCTACTAGTTTTGTAGCCTTTCTATTATTTCATAATCTCTAGAATTCCATGGTAATATTTTATTTACAGGAAGTTTCAGTGATCATATAATATTAACTTTTATTTACCAGAAGAGAGGAAGTGGTTAAACTTAATGACTGCTATATGACAAACCAAACAAGGAACATATTTTAACCTGATAGAATGCCATGCACAGTCATCACAGCCATGGTGCATAGCTCAGAGCAGGAAAGCAAACAGCTGCTGTAGCCTGATTTGAGTTAAAATAGTGTCAGTGTTTAGTCTGGCGCACTGCTTCAGAAAAGATTGGCAGCTGGGTCAAACAAAGTCATTCCATTGGCTCCTTTCCCAGTAAGCTTCTGCTAGCATTTAGGTACTAATGCAGCCTAGGCCTTTTCTCAGGGATAGCCTAACATCTAACCGCACCCTCTTACCCTTTTTGTTTTCTTTTTTCAAAAGTCCTTTCCCTCTTGAAGATCAATTCAGTATTATGCAATCTGCCAACATTTGTGTATTAAAATGTGTTCTGTCTTGAAAGCTGATGCATCCTGCTCCCAATATGGTGCAGAAAGAAGTTTGTTATCGTCCTGGATTAATAAAAGGGGCCTTTATGGGTTGTGAAAGAATATCTGTATGCTTAGGCAGGAAACTTTTTGATCCACAGAAAAGCAAGACGACATCTAGGTAAGGCTGACTATCAAATTTATGTTTCTGAGAAACTGTGTAGTGAAATTCAGCTAACTGCATATTAGTAAACTGCCTTGCTTTCATGAATATATCCTTAAAATCTGAATGAGAATTTATTCTATTTAGAAACTGGTAAAATGTTGTGCTATTCTATTTAGCTTTAGAATTTTCATAGAAATTAATGTGGTAGATATTCTTATATCTACTTAGAAAAAAGATTTCTAGGCATGAATATGGAAAAAAAATAGTTCAGCTATTGCATAGAAATATATATATATATATATATTTTTAAAAAGACCTGGCGTTTGGGAAGAGATTCAAAGCATGCTTTCAACTTTTACAGATTGAAAAATTGAAATCCAGTTGAGAATAGCTTTGGACTAATAAGGTTTAAATGACTAAAGTTTAACGTAGCTCTGAAGGGAATATTAAGTAAGTTGTCTTTGTCTCATAGTTTTTAATTTTTGTTGTTGCTTTAGCCTGTTGGGTCACATTTTTTTGTTAGCGTTGAAGGCTGCCATGAATTGGTAATGAGGGCCCCTTTTGCACATGATTTTGGCACTTGGCCAGAATCAACTTCCCAACAGAGAGCTTTCTTTAAAAGAACCTGGAGCATTTTTTCTTTCTTTTTTGTGATGAGGAATTACTCTGAAAGCTGCCATAACCAGTTGTGTAGGCATGTCAAAATGACTTTATACACGGACATGAAACATTCCTTTTCATTCCAGGTTCTTTTTTCATGGTATGCAAAATTGTTGGAATTATCATTTTATTTTCTTTCAGACTGTTCACCATTCAGAATAGGTTTCATTGAGTCTAGTGGTATAGAAGGTTTGTACTTATATATATAGTTTCCCAGAAAATCAATATAAGCATATCACATTTGGGTCAGTTTACAGTGATAAGTTTTGCTTCAAAACACATCAAGACACAGAAGGTTTCTTTAAGTTTTTCATTCATTAGAGCTAAATGAAGAGTAAGTAAATACCTTTCTAGAATTTTGTCTCTTAAGTTTTAAAGAAAATATTTTATTAAAGTTATATAGTTACTTATTGTATATTGTGGAAATAAAGTTTAGATGAACTGTCTTGGGAGAAAAATGTTACAATGGTTAAATATGTTTGATATTGGAATGTTTAAACTCTGTAAAATCTACACATTTTACAGGATGCCTACTTTATGATTGGGAACATTCAAACTATTTTTCATTTGTTCTTGTAATAGCTAACAAGAAATCACTCAAAAAAAATCATGTGTGTATTTTTAAATATCATAGGTGGAAATTTTGTTTTTCACATCTCTTATAATTAGATCTTATACTGTATATGGATGGGCTATACATTTGTATTTGTGGATGTGAGTAATGCCCATCTGTTTTCAATAACTGAATCCAGTGGTTGAAAAACTAAGCATCTAGGAGAGCTTCAGTTGTCATTAAAGAAAACAACTGATTCTTGTCAGTTTTGTAGTTATTCAATATTATATATAGCTATAATCCAAATTATAATACAGTAACCAATTTCTTATATTAAAATGTTATACATATATATATACTCTGAAAATTTCCAGAATAGAAATATGTTTAACTAATTGATTCATTGTGTTAATTAAATATATAAACTATAAATGCCTTAGTAGATACAGTTGGAGATTTCTTTTTAAAAAGTTGCTAAATGTAAAAACATTTAATGCAAGCAAGGGTTTCTTTAACAGAAAAATGTTCCCCTAAATAAATCATATAGAGCATAAAGTGGTTGTAATTTATATATGGTTTTGAACATGAAAATAAGAATTAGCCATTAATGATTGGGCCTTTTTAACATTCTAAATAGCTAGTGATCCAATGTAATTAACTTTTCACTTCAGGTTCAGAGCAGAAACTTTATATGAACTACCTAAAGTGTTCTTTCTGATAAAAAATAATTAAGAGATATTTTGCTTATGCAGAATTTGAATTGAAGGTTTTTCTAAAATCATAACTTTTTAAGCAAAGCCTATTTATAAATTACTTTGATAACTGTCACATCACAGTTCCAGAGTGAAACATATCTTTCTAATCTTTTTGTAGACATGAGTTTAAATAATAAAAAATCAATACTGGTTATTTTTTGCACCTCGGAATTAAAGAAGGGGGGGAGGAAGGAAACTGTGATCAGATGTTCCAAAAGAAATGCCCTGACCTAAATCTATGTTCCCATTGGCCCGTTCAATGTCTTCCAGTTGTAAATTTCTATACTATATAATGCAATTGATTTCGCAGACATCCTATGCTCGTCTTATGGAAGTCATGTTGAGGTCAACAAAACTTATTTAGCAGAATTGTGATGGAAGTTTGCCTTCATTAAACTAATTCCCGTTACATTCTTAGAACAAAAATATTGAGTTATAGTATATAGTAATATATATTTCACAGCTCTAGCTATTAAGACAAATATTTTTGTAGCAAAAACAAATCTGCAAAATTTCTAGCTGCATTGTTTTTAGAAATTTAACTTTTATAATTCCTTTTACTATTTAGTACCATTCAGCTTAAAGTAAGAGTTGGATAAAAGTAGTATGCAATGTAACACACAAACACACAGAGAGAGACATACATACATATTAAGTTACATATGCAATTTTGATCATTTTAATGACATAAGATATCTTGAAAAATGATAATGTACAACTCAATATGATATTTACTGCTGTCATAAGGACACTTAACTATGGAATAATTCTAATCAATAACAATGGTACAAATTCTGAATAAACATAGTTAGAAATACATGTAGAAATCAAGTTTGTTTAATAAAATGATTAATTACAATTTTCTAATCTAACGAGAATTTAACATTCCACTGATTCATTGTATTAATATCCTGCTTACAGTACAGTATTTCAGGTTTTCAGGTTTTCTTACCATTTAATTTGTTATTTTTATGTAAGAAGACTATAAATAGTTCATTAATATATAAATCTTTGGTTCATTCTTTTGGAGAAATAGTAAAGTTGTTACCATAAAAATATTTTAAATAATAGAATATTACATACTTTAAAATTAACTTTAAAAAACCTCAAAATTACTGGAATAAGCAATGTTGAGTTTTTTGAAAGTGGCCTTTGAAAATCTATGTTCAGTGGCTTTTAAAAAATGTCTGGCATAGAAAACACTTGGACATAATCACTTCTGATTCTTGGAATTCTGTTTTGTCAGCATTTTAGTTCTAGGATAAATTGAACAGAATGAATTTCTATATGAGAGTTCAAATTTGTTGCAAAGTCTGTATAAAACCTACTTTATCCATAGAACAAAGCAAATATTGTTCTAAACAATTGGCTCTCATTTACAACAGAGCCCTAAGTTTCTCTTTTGCTTACTTGTTGCTTATCTGTTTCATGTACTATTAAAAAGTTATTAAAAATGCAACTGTATTCAGTAAATTTTCATTCTTTTCTCTACTGTTGAAGGGAACAATGAAGAGGAAAAGTATGGCCACAATATTTTTTTTATCAAGGAGCTAGTATGATACTTTTAGCCCTTAAAGTCCAAACTCCGAAAGGTTTTAGAAAATAAGGTATAGTGTTAAAAATTAGGAGGATGAGAAAGATCCTAGTAACTATTACAGTACATGAAGATGCAAAGAAATAATACATGTGATTCATCTTTCATCACTGAATTGGCATTTGGAACAGTATCATTTAATTTTCAGTGGTTTGGAACTGAATTTGGTATCCATCTGAAAGAAAAAATTACACTGAACTTAATACAAGTCTTCTCCTTGTGAAAAGAAGGTTAGGGAGAAATGCAATTGCTTACAGGATGCTTCCAACTGGTCAGTAAGTTGGTCAGTAAGCTGTAAATACTGTACTGGAAACTGTGATGATGAAATATTCTTGCTATGTAGTTGCTGCTTTGTAATTTTAAAGAATGAGCTATAGGCAGTGGTGGGATTCAAATATGTGAACAACCGGTTCTCTGTTTGGATGTCGCTTCCGGAAGTCATTCTGGGGCTGGGCAACAAAAAATTAACTACTGGTTCTGCCAAAGTGGTGCAAACTGGCTGAATCCCACCACTGGCTATAGGACAATATGCAGTAATTCAAGAAATCAGAATTATGATGCATCCTCATCTAAATCATCTATGGTCCACAAGGCATAATACACTACATTTGTTATTTTATTTTTGAAATAATTGGCTGACCAATAATTAGACCAAGCAGACTATTTAGAAAGGGGAAAAATATAATGTACGTGTACATTTGAGACTTGCTTAGAATGACTCTGTCTTAGAATGAATCTATGATTTCTGAATCTGAGCAACCCTACATAGTAACTAGAAGAACTATGTCCAAAAAGAACATTACTTTTATGTACATTTGTAGAGGTACATAAAAGTAAAAAATGTTTGCTGCTTTATTTTTGTCATTCTATTACTAATTTCTTTTTAATTTTCATATAGTAATGAATTATGTTTAATAAATTTATGTTTTCTGAATTTTAAAACTGAACCAATTTAGAGTTAAAGCAATTTGTTTTATTTTGCTTTGTTTTACTTTGCTTGACTGAGGTTTTATAACATTGATTTATTGATTGTGGCTTTCCTTAAAGGGGGGGAACCCATAACACTAATTTGAAGAGAAAATCAGATAATATGTACTATAAAATTTATTTAACTTATTAATATTCTGTTTTCTTATTGCATTCTTTAGGTTAAAAATGTTAAGTTACACGACATTACATTATATTTTTACTTAACAATATTTGTTTTATTTATAATTTGTATCCATTTATTCTGTTATAGATTTTTCAAAGGAATCTACTCCTTTGCAGTATGTGGAATCTACCCAAATGAACAGACTTGTGTAGTGAAGAGACTGATATTGTTCATTTACATATGGTCACAAAATGATCTATACTATCTTTCCTACTTTATTATTTTTCTTTGCAAAATTCATGTCAATTATTTGAAATGTATAAACAAGAGTAATTGTTTTCAACTTCGTGAAAAGTTCAATTTCCTTTTACAGGAAATGAAAAATAGGATGTTCCATGTTTAAAATGAAGTAGGGAGATAGTAAAGGTGGTAATTGGGATTACAGATATTGTAAGAAAGTAGAAGTTAGATATGTTGTCTATCCAACTGGATAGAATAGGCACACGTCATATCCCTTCCCTTAAATGTTACCATTGTGAGATCTATGAAGCATAAGTTTTCCATGGCAATTCCTGCCTTATGGAACAACCTTACCCTTGAAATTCGACAGGCCACTGCCTACTCTTTTTACTTTCAGAAAAGAACTGTGATGAGCTGAGTTTCCCCTCACGCATTGGGACAAGGTGAAGCTGAAGTTGCAAGATGTATCTTGAGTTGTATCAAGAGAGTTTGGGTATAGTGCCAGGCTTTATTTTACTTTTTTTGTTTTAATTATTTGTACGATATTGCTTTTATATTGGAATTTTGAGCCATCCATTGTTCTGGTCCCAATGTGGGTGGGGGCACAAATGTTATATATAAATAGATGACCTCTGTAGATTATAAGATTGCCATATTTAATTGTTTGAAGATCGTGTGTAGTAGGCAAATTGCACCCAAATTACTGATTTCAAAGCACAGTACAGGAGACTTTGAATAAACACTAGGAAATCCTCTGCGATAGTACAATCTTTTCAACAACACCTCAGCAAGAGATTATTACAGCCATTATAATAATTTTGCTTCTTCATCAGAAAATTGAGTAGATTATTCTTGAAACTTGGAGTTATCTTGAATTATATTTTTATCATACTTGTTTTGGTAAATATAGTAGAAATGTATTCAAGTAAAACAAACATATGCTTCATATAGATAAAAACAAAAATGTAGATGTCATATATTCAGAATTTCTATGGGAAAAAACTATGGCAAGAATATTCTGAAAATTTTGTTGCTTTTTTTGTATTCTTGTCTGCTTCAAGAACATTAGGGAACCAAAGGTATGAATGTTCATGCTGCTTTTATTATAAGAGTATAGTAATAGAAACTTGCAAATCTGAATACATTTCTTTCTCAAGTAATTTTCTGCCTCAGACTAAGATGTCCTTTAAGACCACTGTCTTGGTTGTAGGTCTTCCCTTGTTCCTCAAAGTTTATTACTACTGCCCATTAAACTACCATTAAACATTTCAACCTTGATATATTAGTTTTCACTTCAACTATCTCTATCCTTTCATATTACAGTTTTCAACATACTTCCTTTTGCCAGTCATACTCTAATTTTCCCTTTTAACAGTAGAACATTAGAACGATTAATTATATGTACATCATTTACTAATTATTAACTCCTATGCTAGTTCTTATTTGTGTTTAATCAGTGTATTTTCAAGGTTGCACACTGCCTAGAGTTGCTTTTTATGAGAGGGTGGCTATGCAAATTTGACTAACAAATAAAACAAATAAATAAATGTATGTAAAGGATTATTATAATTTTAAGTGCATATGATAAATGTATCACAATTTAAATACTATATACTTACCCAAATAACTATTTGAAACATTCTTTTTTCAAGTGAAATGAACTTCATAATCTATAGGCACAATCTGTTTTAATAGCTGTCTCATATAAACATCAATGGGTAAAATGATTATACCAAAATATTGATCACAACACCCTTTGTCCTAACTAAAAATCCTATTTTTGAATAATGTGTTATTATTCTGATCAAATGTTAGTTCAGTCTAGTGGCATCTTTTGAGCGCAGTTATCATAGATGCTAAACTGCTACTGTTTTCTAGAGTATTTGTAGATAAACATTTTAAACATTTGCTTCACAGTTTAGTGAAACCGCTCTTCTTGTGCATTTGCTGAAGGACTATAGGTCTGGGTAAAGACTAGGTCTTTAATGTGGCCCATTTTTTAAATAGGATGTCTGGCCTGTGAAGTTGGGCCTCAGATCATACTTACATATTGAGGAAAATCACTTTGAAGAATATTTGTAACAATTCATGAAGCAGAGTGATATGTGGTATAACTGGTTCCAGCTCCCAACTGGCTTTCTCAGCTAAGATTACTCTGTCATTGTAATCTGTCGCTAATGCTCTAAGTGTGTCCATAGGCTTAAGCCTAATGTGTTAATCAGCACCTTTATTATAGTTATGTATATTAAGTATTCTTTATCCCTGAATTCTCTGATATTTATGACATGTCTGATGATTAGAACATTCCATATGTGTAATAAAACTTTTAATTTTCTTTCTATTGTTTACAGCTATTATCAGATCCATACCACTTGGATTTATTCAATTGACTGGTTGATTCATTACCCTGCCTTGGTGTTCTAATAAATATAGTGTCTAGCAAAATTAAAACAAACGAATCACACCAGAACAGGTAATAAAGAATTAAAAACAAATCAATATGTATATATATATATAATAAACAATAAAATATACGAACACCAGGAAGTTATAAAACTATAAAAAGTTTTAATAAAACCAGAATAAAACCAAGCTTTCGCTGGCATCTGCCAGCATCATCAGGGTAGTCTCCAGTCGATGGGAGAAGCTATTTATAGATGTGGCATTCTTTGCGCCCGGCTTCTTGACCTCGTCATGGGTCCCAGCCAATCCACCTGCATTTTGATCGTAGTTTCTGTGTTGCAAGCTGTAATTTCCTCACTTTCCTTACTTGTGCTGGTACTGCAGCTCTTCCTCCCTTTTTTGCATAACTGTAAGTCGGGGGGACTCCTTAATTCCATGTAATTAGATGTGCACTGTCTGTGTTTATGTTGTTTATTCTCCTCATCCTCCTTCTTGGTACTCCCTATTTCTCTTCTCCCCCTATTTCTTTGTTTATGATCCTCTTTCAAAACTATATCCTTATTGTTTGTCTCTGTAGCCCAAGATTCCATTGTGTTTACATCATCCTGTTTCCCGATCCTTCGTATCACTTTATTAACTCCCCTTTCTATTTTCTCTTCAATGGGGGTGATTTTAACACCCTCTCCAGAATTCGTGGCACCCACAAATTGATTGCTGACCCCTTTTTCCGAGGGGGCTGTCCCTTCACTGTTGTTTGTGTATTCGCTCATTACTTGAGGGTATGCAATCTTCCTTAAAAGGAGAGAGGCGGAATCCTTACGGTCGTGATTTGTATCTCCTTGTGCATTCCTACGGGGAGTCGTTCCTGTCAAATGTCTGTAGGAGCGTGTGGAAGCTCTAAGATTATAGCGAACAGGCTTCTCATCTCCCCGTTGTTCTCCTGCGTTCCCAAGGCAATAACAGCTCAAACGGGAAATGTCATTAGTGAAGTTAGTTGCAGGATCGCCGGTGGAATTACACGTGGCATTCCAATCCTTCGAATCATGATTGTTTAATAACCCGAAGTCTATACCAGATCGCTTTATATATATATATATATATATATATATATATATATATATATATATATATATATATATATGTTGTTGTTGTTAATTGCGAAGTCGTGTCCGACCCATCGCGACCCCATGGACAACGTTTCTCCAGGTCTTCCTGTCCTCTACCATCTTCTGGAGTCCATTTAAGTTCACACCTACTGCTTCAGTGACTCCATCCAGCCATCTCATTCTCTGTCGTCCCCTTCTTCTATTGCCCTCAATCTTTCCCAGCATTAGGCCCTTCTCCAGTGAGTCATTCCTTCTCATTAGGTGGCCAAAGTATTTGAGTTTCAACTTCAGGATCTGGCCTTCTAAAGAGCAGTCGGGGTTGATCTCTTCTAGGACTGACCGGTTTGAACGCCTTGCAGTCCAAGGGACTCGCAGGAGTCTTCTCCAGCACCATAGTTCAAAGGCCTCACTTCTTTTGCGCTCAGCCTTTCTTATGGTCCAACTTTCACAGCCATACATTGCAACTGGGAAAACCATGGCCTGGACTATACGCACTTTTGTTGGCAGGGTGATGTCTCTACTTTTTAGTATGCTGTCTAGATTTGCCATAGCTTTCCTCCCCAGGAGCAAGCGTCTTTTAATTTCTTGGCTGCAGTCCCCATCTGAGGTGATCTTGGAGCCCAGAAAAATAAAATCTGTCACTACCTCCATTTTCTTCCCCATCTATTTGCCAGGAATTGAGGCAGCCAGATGCCATGATTTTGGTTTTCTTAATGTTGAGTTTCAAGCCAACTTTTGCACTCTCCTTCTTCACCCGCATCAAGAGGCTCTTTAGTTTCTCTTCACTTTCTGCCATTAGAGTGGTATCATCTGCATATCTTAGGTTGTTGATATTTCTCCCGGCAATCTTAATTACAACTTTTGATTCATCTAGCTCTGCCTTTCTCATGATGTGCTCTGCATATAAGTTAAATAGGCAGGGCGACAGTATACAGCCTTGCCGGACTCCTTTTCCAATTTTGAACCAATCAGTGGTTCCGTGTTCGGTTCTCACTGTTGCTTCTTGACCCTCATATAGGTTTCTCAAGAGACAAATGAGATGGTCTGGTACTCCCATCTCTTTAAGAACTTGCCACAATTTGTTGTGATTCACACAATCAAAGGCTTTTGCATAGTCAATGAAGCAGAAGTAGATGTTTTTCTGGAACTCCCTAGCTTTCTCCATGATCCAGCGTATGTTGGCAATTTGATCTCTAGTCCCTCTGCCTCTTCGAAATCCTGCCTGTACTTCTGGTAGTTCTCGATCCACATACTGCTGGAGTCTAGCTTGTAGGATTTTAAGCATAACTTTACTAGCATGTGAAATGAGTGCAATGGTGCGATAGTTTGAACATTCTTTGGCATTGCCTTTCTTTGGAATTGGAATGTCAACTGACCTTTTCCAATCCTGTGGCCACTGTTGAGTTTTCCAAATTTGCTGGCAAATTGAATGTAGCACTTTTACTGCATCGTCTTTTAAGATTTTGAATAGTTCAGCTGGAATACTGTCACCTCCACTAGCTTTGTTGTTGCTCAGATTTTCTAAGGCCCATTTCACTTCACATTCTAGGATGTCTGGTTCGAGGTCAGTGACCATCTCATTTTGGTTATCTGG